ACCTGACCATGAAACGGGGTGATGTCAGCTCTCCGATTCCTTTTGAATGTCTGAAACTGACATTTGTCTGCACTTCATCTTCTTTGCTCTGATGCTGAAAACCACAGAGGCGCTGACTCTGGACTGTGTAAACTGTGTAAACATACAAACAGCTGCTATTGGACCGTTGACATATTGAAAGTCCTGACAGTTGTTATGTGTCGTGCTTTGCAGGCTCTGACTCCACTCTGGCCACGGTCCCTTCCTCTGCTGATAAGCCATCCTCATCCTCGTTTAACCGCTTCATCGACTCCTCAGCGGTGGAGGAGGCGCTGCGCGGCGGCTGTTTGGCCTGTGTTCACCACATCCTGTCCTTCATCCGGTCACAGCTGGCTGCGGTCTCGCCAGACTCCAGGCCCGTCTGCCTCAGTGCAGTTCTGTTCATGGCCAGGCTGTGCCAGTCTATGGGCAAGCTGTGCCCCAACCTGAAGCATTGCATCCTGGGAAAGCAGGGTGGTTTGGACAGCGCCGCCAAAGGGACCCCGAGGCAAGGCAGGAAGCTGGGCAAGCTGACAGAGGTCAGGCCGTCCCAGGACAAGTGGGAGGCGCTGAAGGAGGAGCTTCTTGGCTGCAGTATGGAGGCCTACCGCATCTGGAGCGCCGCCCTTTCTAAAGTCAGACACAGTCACACGTGTTCATGTAAACTTGACATGTTTATGGTTTGTAGATACAGAGCAGCTTTGTTCTTCATGCAAACAGTAATGATCATCTCTGTAGCTTCTGCTTTCAGCAGGTCAGCGTCCAGCTGTGGACACATCCAGCTGTGGTTAAACTGGTTTATAAAGTGAACGTGTGTTATGTGACTGAACGGGTGGAGGGCGACTGACTAAACCAGTGATCATGTTTAATGTTTTAGCTTGAACAGACGTGTGAGGGTCAGACGTCTGCAGCTGTGACTTGTATCTGGGTTCCTCTGGTCTGAAGACCTGCTCGGCTGTGTTTCAGGGGCTGTTGGAGAAGTTTGGCGTGGTGCTTCATGCTGAGTCTGCAGGCACCATCTTAGCCACAGCAACTAACTGGGAGGATCTGGAGATCCAGGAGGAGGCGGAGTCTGGAAGCAGCGTTACGTCCAAAATCCGTCTTCCAGTACAGGTGAGAAGGACGTCTGACACAAACTGGAAGGACCCAGACTCCGTGCTGAGGTCTGACGGCGGTCTGTTGTTTCTGTGTCTCCTGTAGCCGACGTGGTTCGTGCAGTCGCTGCTGTTCCAGCTGTGCGTGGAAATAAACAGGGTGGGAGGCCACGCCCTTCCTCGCTCCACCCTCCAGGAGTTTCTGCAGACCTGTTTGACTGAAGTCCTGCACCATTACCACAGCCTGACACAGACCAGCAGCACGGTAACTGAGACCTGATCATTTCCTGTCCTGAGAAAAGTGTAAGAATAAACTTCATGATCACAGACGAGCAGAGCGTCGTGGCTCTGAAGGGAATCATCCTAACAGGAGCTGGTGTAAGGCTGCACACAGCCAGAAGAGACTAATGAAGAGCTCAGTTCACACATTCTGTACTTGAGTAGAAGTACAGATACTAGTGTTCAGAAATACTCGAGTAAAAACTGAAGTCCTGATTCTTCTTTACTCGATGAAAAGTGAAAAGTGCAGGTTGTGAAATGTGCTCACAGTAAGGAAGTAAAAGGTTTTCTGTCTGTGTACGAAGCTGACTGAGGTGCCTGTGCTGCAGCTTCAATAACAGTGGAAGAAAACAGATGGCATCAAGCTTTTAGTCAGTTAAACTGTAATAGATTACTCAGCTTGGTTAAGTAGAGTCTGAGTGGGAAAGGACAAACGCTGAGAGGGTGACTTCCCCCAAATCAGGGAGATGAGTGGGGAAGTGGAGTGGGATCAGCACATGAACCTGAGATTGGCTGTAAGGACTCAGCGTGGGCAAAGAGCTCACACAGGTTTCTGCTGTGGGCTCTGTTTATTGGTCAGGCTGTGATCAGCTGACCTGTTTCATCAGCTGTACGCACGTGTGCTGCTACACTGTCTTTATAGTGGCTGGTGTCGAGTTGGAGTGAATTCAGTGAATCTCAGCATCATGAGCTTCACTCTGACCGTGATCATCAGTCACACACTTTAAACCCATCAGCTCACCATGGACGTGAATCAACCTGCTGTCACGTGTACAGAATGATGTCTGATTAACAACGTGAGGAGTTTCATGTCTCTGCTCGTGTTCAGTGCAAACTACCATCATAATGTCTCTAATGTTGTTAATGCAAAAAAAGGACAGAGAGAAACTAGTGCTGTCAGCGTTACCGGGTTAACGCGCCATA